AGCTCCACCGACGGCCCCAGTGGCTGCTCTCGAATGCGGTCCCCAACCCAAGGCAGCGCTTCGTTGCCCCATGGGGAGCTCCACCGAAGGCCCCACTGGCTGCTCTCGCAGGAGGTTCCCCCACCCAGGGCAACGTTTCGTGGCCCCATAGGTAGCTCCACCGACGGCCCCAGTGGCTGCTCTCGCATGCAGTTCTCCCGCCCAGGGCAACGTTTCGTGGCCCGATAGGGGGCTCCACCGAAGGCCCCACTGGCTGCTCTCGCATGCGGTTCCCCCACCCAGGGCAGCGTTTCGTGGCCCCACAGGAAGCTCCATCGAAGGCCCCAATGGCTGTTCTCGCATGCGGTTCCCCCACCCAGGGCAACGTTTCGTGGCCCCATAGGGAGCTCCACCGAAGGCCCCCCCTACCCAGGGCAGCGCTTCATGGCCCCATAGGGAGCTCCACCGAAGGCCCCAGTGGCGCAGTTCGCATGCGGTCCCCCCACCCAGGGCAGCGGTTCGTGGCCCCACAAGGAGCTCCACCGACGGCCCCAGTGGCGCAGTTCGCATGCGGTTCCCGTACCCAGGGCAGCGCTTCGTGGCCCCATAGGGAGTTCCACCGAATGCCCCAGTGGCGCAGTTCGCATGCGGTCCCCCCACCCAGGGCAGCGTTTCGTGGCCCCATGGAGCCTCCACCGAAGGCCCCCGCGGCGCAGTTCGCATGCGGTTCCCCCACCCAGGGCAACGCTTCGTGGCCCCAAAGGGCGCTCCACCGAAAGCCCCCGCGGCGCAGTTCGCATACGGTTCCCCCACCTGGGGCAGCGCTTCATGGCCCCATAGGGAGCTCCACCGAATGCCCCAGTGGCGCAGTTCGCATGCGGTTCCCCCGCCCAGGGCAGCGTTTCGTGGCCCCATAGGGAGCTCCACCGAAGGCCCGTCCCAGTGGCGCAGTTCGCATGCAGTCCCCCCACCCAGGGCAGCGCTTCGTGGCCCTACAGGGAGTCCCACCGAAAGCGGCATCCACAACGCATTACGAACCATTGCTTATGGTTGGGTCCTTCGCCAGGATATGGTTTTGGTTTGCCAGCGCCGGTGATTGCTGGGAGAGAGACATCTGCGAGCATTAGGTTTTCAAAGCAAAAAACAGCACACCAAAACAAACACAGTGCTTCCTTGCTCGTCAGACCAAAGGCCAACTAACATCATAAACATACACAATGTTTGGCGCTCTCGGTTCAAGGACACACTGTGTAGGTCTGTTGTTTGCTGGAGTCGCAAAGAGGGAGGAGAGGGAGGAGGGAGAGCAAACGATCATTGGTTACGGTTCTGCTTATGGTTCTGGTTTTGGTTCTTCCAGTTCTGGTTCTGGTTATGGTTTCGGTTGTTCTGGCGAGGGTTCTGGTTGTGGTTCTGGTCCTGGTTCGTTGTGTGGTTGTGTTGGCTTTGGGGGTGCTGGGGGGGGGGCGACCATCTGTATACAGATACAGAGAGACATATGTAGAGAGACAGAGAGAGAGAGAGAGACAAAGAACGAAAAAGAGAGAGAGAGAGAGAGAGACAGAGAGACGGGGGGGGAGAGAGAGAGAGAGAGAGAGAGAGAGAGAGAGAGAGAGAGAGAAAGAGAGAGAGAGAGAGACATACATAACATATATGACTGCGCATTCATATACATACATACAGAGAGAGACGGGGGGAGGGAGAGAGAGAGGGGAGAGCGAGACAGTCAGGTAGATCGGGACAGACAGACAGACAGCAAGAGAGAGAGAGAGAGAGCGAGAGAGAGAGAGAGAGATACAGACAGACCGACAGACAGACACAGACATCTATAGAAACCACAAACAACCGAGAGGAAAAGAGAGAGGGATACCACCAGACAGGGCATCATACGTTGACGTGGAGGGACATCCCTCACACCGATGGCATTGGAAGGGGATGCTGAGCTGTACTATGATACGCGAGAGTTGAAAATGACAAGGTCCGCCACCGCGCCGCGAGGGACTAAGCGGAGCTCCCTCAGGACCCTCCGAGTTCTCTGTGTTGAATATTGCCAATACTTTTCAAAGTATCCAATGCCAAAAAATCAGGGCGCTCTTGGGCGCTTCTGGGTGCATGACTTTTCTCGAGGCCTTAGAAAAACTGCTCAACGCATACAGTCTCTAAATATCCTGAGATGGCTCCGGAAGGCAATGCTGGATCACTCTTGGGGCCTAGCGGTCCGTCTTGGAGGCCCAAGGAGCCGGCTCAGTAGCAGATCTGTTGCACAACTGATGGTTTAGTGAGACTTTCGCGTGCTCGTCCTTTTGGCCTGAAGAGTGCCCAAGGTGGCCCAAGAAGCCTCCAAGAGAGCCTCACGAGTGCCCACGAGTTTTTCCAAAGGGATTCAAGCGGCCCCCAGGTTGCCTTCAGGATGGGACACAGAAAAGAACACCGAACCTGGAATTCCGGGTCGTTTCGCCAGAGATGGCCCCCGAAGCTGCCAGTGGGCCCCTAAGAAATATCCAACAAGCTGCCAGAGGCCCCCACAGGGCCCCGAAACAGCCCCAGGATGCCTCCAACGGGCCCCACAGAGGCCTCCAGGAGGCCCCTGGTACACGACCCAAGCCCCGTGGCGGTCGAATCCTCTTCCTGGTGCGCTGGGCCCTTTCCTTATATGTTCGGCTTTTTCCCGGTGAGCCTCGTGAGCTGTAGATAGACTAGCACAGCCCTGAAAGAACTCGTTATCTTGAAACGCTCATTTGAACCTCATCAAAATGTCCTTGAAGGCCCGTGTTGACTCACTGTGAAGTATTCGTAAGGATTCGCAATGCCCCTGTAAGAGCTCTCTAAGGATTCGTGAATACTCGGCCTGTGTTGATTCGCTGTAGAACTCCTCGGGGTTTCGTGAGGATTTGCGCGGGCCCATAAAAAGTCCGCGTGGATTCGTAAGGTGTTCGTGGGAACCCCAAAGACCTCGTGAAGCATCCTGAAACATTCGTGACAATGTATCAAGGGTTCGTGGAGATCCTGGAAGATTCCTCAGGAATTCTTCCGAACTCCTGAGGGGTTCTTAAAAAACCGTGCGCGTTCCTGAAAGATTCGCGGGGCTTCCTTGAGGGACTCGTCAAGGTTCTTAAGCGAAGATTCGTGCGGCTCCTAGAGAGGAGCCGTGCAGATTCCTCAAAGATCTGTGAGAATTGTCTGAATAGTTCGCAAGGGTATGATCCCTGAAAGATCCCTGACGCATAGGGCTTCTTACAAAGGAATACGAACATTCCCCAATGGATTCGCGAGGATGCCTGCGGGACTCGTGAGGACTCCTTAGAGACCCCTAACCGCTAAGGCCCTCGGATTCAGCTATGGCACGTGAAGTTCCAAATAGCACAAACAGGCACGTAAGGATAGGAGGGGACTTTATTGGAATACAATGAGACATCTACAAGGGCATTCGACGAAAACTTAAGTATGGCGGTCGGAACGCTAGAGTGATTGTATTCAATCATGTATGGGGTACCTCATTATGGGAATACCATACAAGCTATGGATACCTATGGTACTACTGCATACACTTATGTGTATACACCGGTATACATGATCGTGTAGTTCCGTCTATGAATGGGTTGGTTTGTTTGCTTGAGCTTGTTGACCAGAACTCCGGCGGCATACGCAAATTGATGTTTCACCCAAAAGCCCATTGATCCGTTTACTTCAAGCACGCCCTCAATTTGCGATGCGCGATGCGGTTCCCCCCAAACTCTAAACGCGCTGGCCAAACCAACCGTCTCAAGTGGGGAAAAACGGTTACATGCGAAATAATCGATGACTCTTATTCGGAAATGGCCAGTTAGAAACAACAGGAGAAACTTGCCACAACTTACAAGATAATCTTTGCATTCAGTGCCCAAAACTCTCTTGGTAAGGACATGCTGTCCCCTGACCCGCTGACTGGTAAGAATGCACTATAGAACCAGTTTGACTGCATCCTCGCCGCCATGAGCTCCACGAGCAGATTTCGTCGTCTTATTCTTTTCGAGCAACGAAGTGGCAACATGACCTGGAAAACTTTCAGAGTTGACGTGCGCAATTTCCGATAGAAATGCAAGCACCAGACTAGACTCTTTTCCGGCGCTCCGCCGAAAGAACCCAATCCGCCAGGAGAAAAACCGTCCGCCGGAAAAAGGGGAGAAACGCACGGTGGCTGGATGGGCCGAACGACGTCTCGAATTGAATGCACCGCAAACCCAGTACATATACAAACGTATACGAGCGATCACTACAATGCAAAGTTACTACGAAGCGAAATCAGCCCGCAGTATGGACGGGAATCATCTGCAACATAGGAAACCTACGATCTACGATGATTGCGTGAGGGCTGCAATATAAAACCCATTAAATACTTGCACGAATCGTGGGCAGTGTGAGCTGAACAGTCGTGGAGGGCGAATGCAGAGCCACAAGGCCGATGAGGAGCTCTCACATCAGATGCACAGCATGTTTATTGTCGGAGGCTGTTCTGGATGCCTGCTCGGTCTCTGCCTGTAGGAAGAAATCGGAGACTGTCCGCATGGGGGGGCTCAGAGTAGACATAGCTCTGTATACCTATCGTCGTTCATCCCCCACCACTTCTCTGTCTCCCGTTGTGTCTAGTTGTGTTGTTTGCTAGTCTGCTCTCTCTCTCTCTCTTTCTCTATCTCTCTCTTTCTCTCCTCCTTCTAATGCAAGATGGGGCCAGGATGTGAACTTGAGTCCCATCTGCTGCTCTTGGTGCTGCTATTCTTCATTTCCCCTTAGTTTTGCTCACCGTACCTCATCCCTCTCATGCTCCTCGTGCCTCATCCCTCTCCTGCTGCTCGTGCATCACCCCTGTCCTCACACCACAATGTAAAACAATCGCACTGTCCTGCGACTGGTGCTCTTCTCCAGCCACGTGCTTCATCGATGGCACCTCCTTCTGTCCCCCCTCCCTCCGCCACTGCCTCCCACCTTCGCATACTTCGCATCCTCCTCCTCCTCCTCCTCCTCCTCCTCCTCCTCCTCCAAGTGGCCTCCCGAATGCGCATCGTGGCGCAGGACCAACAGATGATGCTCAAGCACCGCATCTCGGACTGCAGCTCGTCGCCGCGCGCATGCTTACCTGAGCAAGCGCTTCGCACATATTTGCGGATCCACGCGTACTCCTGACTGAGCTCGCTCGTGGCCTCCAGCTGCTCGCGATGCCAGGGCGAGGATAGGGGACAACCAACAGATCGATCATGCAACACAAGAGATTCTCCTCTGCACCCCGGGAAGGGTGGGAACCACTAAGTCTGAAGCATCGCGGGCGCCGCAACATGACCATTGTGGGCAATTCGCGCTGTGTGGTCCGATCTCCTCGGACACAGCAACTCAGGCTTGAGTCGCTGGGAGACGACCAGGCGAACGCCGGGAGCAGCCGGGGAGCAAAGGGGGGCCGAATCCTTTAGTGGCTACCCCTCCTGGTCCCTGAACCCTCTGCTCCCCACCTCCCCTCCCAGCTGACTCCTTCTGCTCCCATTCCTCCCCTGCTTCCTCCCCTGCTTCCCCTCTTCCTCCTCCTCCTCCTCCTCTTCCTCCTCCTCTTCCTCTCCCTCCTCCTCTTCCTCCTTCTCCCTCTGGAAGACGAAGAAACGGCATAAACATAAACTTTCGACGGTCCGCGCGGATTTCTTGGCTGTGCGCCGGACTCCCCTCCCTGGCGCGCGGAGCGCGCCAGGGGCGGAGCCGGAGGCGCCGCCGGGGGGGGGCCCAGCGCAGACCCGAGAACTCCGCGCGGAGCAGCAAAAATATATGCTTATGGCGTTTTTTCCTCTTCGACCCTCCTGCATCCATCCTCCATCGTCCCTCCTCCCATCATCCCCTCGGCATCCCTTCTCCGTACCTGCCTCCTCCGTCCCTGCCGGGCTGCTTCTTCTCGCACCGACGCGGGCGTCTCTGCGGCCAAAAGCCAAATCGACCGCGGGCCGCAGGCAGCCCCTTCTTGGCGACCGCACTCTCGCCGCTGCTCTTGAAGGCCGCTCGGCTCACGGCATTCACATCGACAGGGGCACTCGGGGATCAAAGGATTGCATAATCATGCACTCTCGGACCACATCCCAGAGATAATTTCGAGCACCCAGACAAGGTATCGAAACAGTGTCGAACGAACATCGTCTCCCAGGGCACGACACGCGAAAACCCTTCAGTTTCGGTACTTTCCTGGTGCTCGAACTTCTTTCTGGTGAACAAGGCCAAACTAGGTTGCAATATCATAAAACGTCCGCGCGAATTTCTCGTTTCGGCGCTGGAGGCCCCTGGCGGCGCCTCCGGCGCCGCACCCCGGCGCGCTCCCGAGACGACGTGCCCGCCGTGACCCGCGAGTCCCCCCTAAGGATGTGTGTGGCTGCTCCTTATCTTGCGGATAAGGGGGCCGTGGCCTTCGCGCCGGGGGTGACCGCGGCGCTTCCGAAGGTGGCCCTGATGCCTTCCTTGGGACGCACAGGAGTCATATCAGTGCTACATGTCCTCCGTGGAGGCGCGCGTCCGACACGAACATATAGTAGACCCATCTTGTAGTAGATCGTTTCTAGAAAGGTGTGGCCCGAAAGCACCCGCCACGACGCATGCACTGTAAGACTTCTCGGTGCGCACGTCGCCCCTGGGAGGGCGATGCACAGATGGTAGGAGCATGCTGGGGTGACGCCGACTCTTTGTGGGGACAGCCGCTACTCCACGGACCTCTCCCAGGGTGCCTTCTGACCAGAATTTTTGAACAGGGACCGACTGTCCCGGCATTCCTGTAGTCCTACCACGACTTGTTCTTAGAACCCAAAAATGTTCTAATAGCAAAAACAATGTTCTTAGAACATAAGCCCGATGTGAGAAACAAGACAGAATCCGCCAGAAATGTTCAAAGAACATTTCGTGGAGGCCACCAGAGGTTCTCAGAACATTCTTTGGTAGGGCTATGGGCGAGCCAAGACGCTTCGCCACTGCTTGAAATTGTGGGGAGCATCCGGCCGTGACAACGAGGGCTCTCCGAGCTGGGCAGCGGCATCGGTCCGACATCTTGCGGTGCGCAGCGTGTCGCCGCGGCGGCCCCGGCGACACGCTCTGCCCTGCAAGCGGCTAGTCGCTCCGCTCCGTGGGGCGGGAGGCTCGCGAGGATTTGGAACGCTGCCGCCTCGGGACCGCGAAGTGGGCAGCGTGTCGCGCCGAAGCGTGGTGGGTCGAGATTGGCAGAGCGACACGCTGTGCAGAGATTCCCGACCGTATCCTCCTCATTCCTCCTCTGACGCTTGCTGCCGGTGGCCGCCGTCCCAGAGGAGTCCAGCATCGAATCGATAAGTCGCATCGGCGATCGAACTGAGTCGGATCGGCAGAAATCGGCAGCACAGTCGGGAGAAGTCGAATCGGCAGAAATCGGCAGGCTAGTAGGCCTCCATTGAGGAATCGGCATCCACATCGGAATCCGAAGTCGAATCGAATCGGAATCGGAGGCCACCGAAATCGAAGCAAATCGAATCGGAGGAATCGAAATGAGCCCTGCGTCCTCCCGTCGGCCACGGTGCTCCCAGTGCTGGCCGTGGCCGTCCTGGTGTGCGCTCTGGCGTGCCCGGCCCTGCTGCTGGCCTGCTGATCCGTGGGCTGGCGGCGCAAGACCTAGGGATGCCCCCAGTCAAGTGGCCTCCCAGATAGGGTCCGAGTAGAGGGGGGTCGGAGGATCGAGCCGCATCGCCGATACATCGGCGATGCATCGGCGATGCATCGACGCCGCATCGCCGATACATCGGCGATGCATCGGCGATGCATCCACGACGCATCGGCGATGCATCGGCGACGTCGGCATGGGGAAACACGGGCTCCTCGTCGAGCCGCATCGTCGATGCATCGGCGATGCGGCGCGATCCTCCGACCCCATCTACTCGGACCCCATCTACGAGGCCTAGACAGTCGCAACTGGACCTGAGCCAGTGGCAAGGACGCAAAGGCCTTGGCGCGGCCGCCGCTCCGCGGAGCTCGCTCTCTGCTCTCCCTTCAGCGCTGCACTCCTTCTCTCTCTCTGGGCCCCGTCTTGACCTCTGCTGCGAACCTGGGGTCTTGTCCTCGAGGCCTCCCACAGGGGGTATGGGCGGATGGGGTCGGAGGATCGAGCCGCATCGCCGATACATCGGCGATGTGTCGGCGACGATGCATCGGCGAAGTCGGCGACGCATCGCCGCCGTCGCGGTGGAAAAAATTGGGTTCCACATCGAGCCGCATCGGCGATGCATCGGCGGTGCGGCTATCCACCGATCCCATCTGCTCCGACTACATTGGGTAGGCCTGGACGTCTTTTGCCAAACGTACGCCTATTCCAGCCATCTTGTCCTGGAGGGGAGATGCCAGTGCCAGGGCCTCGTGCAGCATGGGTGCTCGAGGGACAGCTGCCCATGTAAGATCGGCGGGGACACAGTGCTCTCACGCCGCCAATCGGTTGCCGCTGACTTGGTGCTCGCTTTGACCATTCGATGCTCGCCGCCGCCACCTCCTCCTCCTCCTCCTTATAAATCCGTCCCACCCCGAGACGTGTCGGTAGGGTCAGCTGGGCGGTTCGACCGACACTCCTCACCACTTAGGACCATTAGGAATACCATGTGCAGCTATTTCACGGATGGAGGGCGGGCGGTTTCTCATTCGTCTTCAAAGGTTAGAAGGGCTTCACGGATGGAGGGTGTGGTTTTTCAACATGTAGCTCTCGCCTCAACGCCGCGCGCCCTCGTCCTAAAAGTTTGCAAGAACTTCACGCGTTGAGGGCGGTTGGTTTCCAAAATGCGGGTCTCGCCTGAGCGCCGCGTATAGTTGTCTGTACTGTTTGCGGGATTCACTGGTGGAGGGCGAATCCGTTTCAACATTTGGCCCTCGCCGTAGCGCCGCGCACATTCGTCTAACATTCGCGGTGTTGAAGTCACAAGGATGGCTTTCTGGCACGACCCAGGATCGTCAACATGCAACAATAACGTTGGTCGCGGCGCTGAAGTCCCAACAACGGAGTTTTGCCACGTTCCAAGATTTTCAAACGGCTGCCCTCCAGCGGGGCAATTCCAGCAGTGACAACAAATGCCAGTAGGAACCTGTGAAACAAAGGGAGCTCGGAGGATTTGTTTTCAATGACATTGATGGCTTTTGGGTTTACACTTCCTTCTCCTCCTCCCTCTCCTCCTCCGCCTCCTCCTCTTCCTCCCGTATTCGTATCAAATGTCAACCACGGCGACCGCACAACCGGAAACATACCGAACAATTCCCCGACACCGAAACCGACTGAAACTGAATCTACCATACGCAGCCTAGACGGGCGCAGCGACGCAACAACGACTCAATAACCGACAGAACGCCAACGACTGCGACACAACCGAACTGGCTGAATTGCGGACGCCCTTGTCATCCCCTCCTCGCTCCCCCTGGCTGATGGGAATGGAGGGGATAATGAGGCGGAGAATAAATGGGGGATGATAAGGAACAGGAGGCCGAACGTCCGCGAGAAAGCCCCATCCACAATCGTCAGCGCGCCCTCGTCATGGAAGCTGGAGCGTCTGGGGGGAGCCCTCGCGTTGGAGGGCGAGGAAGAGGAACGCGAGAAAAAAGAAGATGAGGAGGAAACGGGGGAACGATGACGGGGAGGGAGACGCGAGGAGGGCGAAAAAGAGGAGTATGCGTGGATGATAATGATGAGGAAAATTCGGGGGATCTATTCGATCCCCGGGATCAATCCCATCTACACGCTGTTAGCTCACACGCGCGTGCGTGTTAGATCACGATGCAAGTCCGCAGCCCCAATTGAAAAGGGGTGGCTGGAGGCAGATGCAGCACATGAGGATTAAAAACAGCCAAAGGAAAGGGAAGAGGAGAGAGGTGGGGAGGACAAAACAACGAGATGAGAACGCATGGATATATTAAACCGCTACGAGTGCATGTCCCAATAATCCGAAAGATCATTCAGAGAATCCGGCATCACACAACAACATACATGGGCCGCAACACAGCACAGCAACGCAAAGTCGGAACATACCCTACAATTCCTAACATGACAATAAAAATCATACTGGGCGGTATAAGCCAGTATTTTCCTTGGATGGTGACCAAACCAAGGTACAATGCTAA